TAACGCAAATGCGCTGCTCGAGCGAGAGCGCAGTTGTTTCGATTATTCCAACGCTCTAACGAGCTACAAAATCTCGAGATAAGACGGCCGAGAGGATGGATGAGACAATCGAATATCACCGCATAAAAAAGATAATATGCAGTAATTTTATAAGTGGCATCGCGCGGTTTTGAAGGGCGGTTTAGAAGGGAGCTTTATTTAGCAAGGATAGAAATTCATATGAATGAAGATAATACAAAAATTATGTTTTCTATATAATTTTTGTTTCAGAAACCCAAACAATGGATCTCTTTAGGCGTCGACTAGTCATTTTAAACACAAGCTGACGAACCACTCAACTCACAACGAAGAAATGCCGCAATACGCAAATGTCATTCATTTACCTAGCGTCATGTTTCGCATATAATTTGGGATAAGTCGGAAGTTTTCGAAGTAGACTTTCGATTATATATCATTCGAATGATCATTCGATTATAAAATTAATTCGAACGGTAACCTCTCGATTATTTAATTCATTCGATTATTGCCATCACTAATATTAAGGCTCTTGCCTTTTCTAAAAGTGACCTATTAAGCCTCTCTGCCTTGCCGTTTAGTTGCGGACTATAAGGTATGGTGTAATCTAAAATATTTCCTTTGTTTCTGCAATAGTGCTTGAAGTTGGCATTCGCGCCATTATTCCATGGCTAGAAATTGGACTCAATGATTTGGGATCGAGGGGGAATATCCCTCTTTATCCTGCTTAATCTCGTGTAGGCCTGGACAGCCTTCGTAGGTGCGCCCCATCCGTCGTCTACAACGACCGCAAATGCGGCTGATGTAGATGGTTTGTGGCACCTCCTTTTGTCTTGACTGGGCCCCGCCGGCTAGGGCCCTTTCTTCTGGCGCTCTTCTTGCTTCGCCGGCTGTGTGTGTGCGTGTGTGTGTGTGTGTGTGCGCGCGTGAGTGCGTGCGTGCGTGTGCGTGGGTGGGTGCGTGCGTGCGTGTGTGACAGAAAAGGTTAGCGGGCAGGGGGGATGTCGTTGGGGTGGTCCCCAAAGGTCAAAAAGTCGCTGTCTAGGTCTTTTGTGCTTGTCGATCACGTCGTGTACGTAGTCAACGGCTTGCCTGAGAAGGGGATTGTCATTTCTAGCGGCTACGTCAAACCGTTTCTCCGCGTTTTGTCTTATCGTCTGTGTGTAGCGTCTTTGTATTGTAAGTCTCGTAATATGTCAGAGTTTCTTACGTACCAGGGCGCGTCGGTGGCCGTGCGGAGGGCTATGTTTTCCACAGCCTGTAGTGACTTTCAATGCCTGTTTGCCGCGTGACCCCACGCCGTGGAGCCGTAGGTTAGCTGCGGTTGAAGTACCACCTTGATAAGCGTTCGCTTATTCCTTAAACTGAGGGTGTTTCCACCTTTGAGTAAGGGATAGAGCCTAGCCCTGGTGGTCTTCGCTCGCGCCACCGTCTCCACGATGTGCGGTTTCCACGTGAGACGCTGGTCCATCGTCACGCCCAGGTATCGTGTTTGTCGATTCCAGGAGATAGGTTCCTGGGATAGTGTCAGTCTGTCGAGGTTTTGTGGGATTTTTCGTTTGGTAAAAAGGATAGCCGAACTTTTGTTGGGATTAATTTTGACTTTCCACCTGTTGCACCAGGTTTCAAGTTGGTCTAAGGAGTTTTGGAGGAGGGAGACGGAATATCTAGGATCTACGGATTGGGATGTGATTGTCAGGTCGTCGGCGTATAAGTATATGTTGGTGTTGGGGGGATGTGGGATGTCGGAGTTGTAAATGGTGTATAGGTGTGGGGACAGGACGGTGCCCTGGGGGACACCGGCCTCCATGGGACGGGTGGTGGAAAGGGAATCTTGGATTTGGATGCGGAATTTTCGGTGGTGTAGGTAGGATTTTATGAGTTTGGTAAAGGATATGGGATATTGGTTGGTGAGCATTTTCATCAGTAGGCCTTCATGCCAAACCGTATCGAAGGCCTTTGCGACGTCCAGGAAGACAGCACCAGTGTACTGTCCCCTGTTGAAGGCCGCCGTGATGTGCTCGGTAAGGCGAAGGATTTGGAGTTCAGTGGAGTGATTGGGTCGGAAGGCGAACTGCTCGTCTGGAATGACTTGCAGTTCTTGGGAGTGGGTTCTTAGACGGGTTAGGATAATTTTTTCTACCACTTTGCTCAAAGCCGGGAGCAGGCTAATGGGCCGGTAGTTGGATGGGATGGTGTGATCTTTGTTGGGTGTTGGGATAAGAATTATGTTTGCTGTTTTCCAGCGGGTAGGGAAGTGTCTTAGTCTGAGTGTCGTGTTCGTTATGTTTAGTAGGGCCATGAGGCCCTTGTGTGGTAGTCGTTTAAGTGTCGTGTTATGTATATTGTCGGGTCCGGGGGCTTTTCTGTTTTTAAGTCTGCGTATTGTCAGTCTTAGTTCGTCAGGTGTTGCGGGGGGGATTATGTCATTGTCTGGCTCTCTGTCGACGCGTCGGGCCGCGCGCTCAGCCACTATCTCGAATTCCTCGTCTTCGTCGGGCAGCTGAGGCAGTCTACACTGCAGTTCCAGGCTATCGGCGAAAGCCTCGGCCTTTTCCTGGTTCGTGTAAACCACCCCCACACTACCGTGGATTGGAGGAATTTTACGGCGAGCGGTCTGTCGCAGGGCCCTCTGCGTTTTCCAGAGGCTGTTGTCTTGTGGATCCAGCGACTCCAGGTGCCTAGCCCAGTTATCCTGGGCCAGTTCATCCAGAGCCGCCTTCACCCGTCTGTTAAGTACGTTTAAGTCATGTCTGTGTCGGGGGAGGCGGGGTGCGGGTGGCAAGCCGTTTCGCACGTCGTCTGTCACGTATTAAGTTTTTTATGTCATCGGGGAGGGTGCCCCGGGGGTTTGTCAGTCGGGGGACAATAGTCTCCGTCGTAGTCTGAGTCAGGGCGTTTTTAATGTCAGTCTCAAGGGAGAGGATTGCCGCCTCCAGATCATGGGTGGTTTCGATGACTGGGAGCGCCATGTTTCCTTGCATTACTGTTCGGAAACGCTCCCAGTCAGTGAACCTCCTCGTGAAGGTGCCTTCATATCTCTGTCTTCGCCCCAGATCCAGAAATATTGGATTGTGGGCGGAAGACCCTTCGTATTGGGTGGATATTTGGGCATTTAACGGTATAGATTTTAAGAGGGCAATGTCGATAACGTCGGGGCGTCCTACGGGTCCGTAATGTGTCGGTTCTGTCGGTCCGAGTATCGTCAAGTCGTCGTGTCTGTCTTGGTAATTCAGCAGGACGCGACCTCTTGTGGTCGTCGTCCCGCTGTGCCATATGGGGGACTTCGCGTTGAAGTCCCCGATGGCAATTGTCTGGGGCCAGGAAAGGATTTTGTCTAAGTCATTGTCAAGTAGTGGTAGTCTGGGTGGGTGGTAACAGGACACCACCGCAACGTCTCCATGCCGTAGCGATCTCACCGCTATCGCCACGGCCTCTGTGTTTTGAGTTTGGAGCCGCTGCAGCGGATAGTGGTCGATGCACTTCTTTACTATGAGTGCAACACCACCCCCGTTACGGTTTCTGTCATGTCTGTATATGTCATAGTCAGGGATGGAGGTACGGAATGCCTCACTGAGGTAGGTCTCCAGGACAGCCATAACGTCTATGTTTAGACGGTTCAAGATGTCCACGAGTTCCATTTTTTTTGGCCCGGAACCCGTCAAGGTTCTAGGACGAAATTCTCAGCGAGGAGGGTTGGGAAAGCCGACGAGCCATTCGAATAGTTTTTGCATATTCGACACCATGGTCGTCAGCTGGATGCAGAAGTCTTGAAGACGCTTTGTTGCGTCAATCAGAGCTGCGCGCCCTGTTGGGAGGGTGTCGTGTCTGTGTGTGCGTGTGGTGAGGTGTTGTGTTTTTGTGTGGTTTGTGTTTTTCTGGTCATGTCAGCGTATGTGAGTTCCGGGGTTGTGTTTGGGGTGGGTAGGAGGAGCTGTCTGTGTGTTTGTGTAGTGTTTTGTGTCGTATGTGTGTTTGTTTTTTGTGTTTTTAGCTGACCGGGTGGCGCCCGGTGCAATTTGCACACCTGGCGGGCGTGTCTTTGGCCCCTTTTTGCAGACGTGCGTGCTGTGGTTTTCGCCACATTTTACACAATTTGGCTCAGCTGTGCACCGGGTCTGGCCGTGGCCGAACCGCTGGTACCAGTGGCACTGTGTGGCAACCCGTTGCTTTCGCTGCGGCTCTACTCGAACCACGAGCGAGCAGCAGCGGGTTACCTTCAGGATGTCCTCCTGGTCCTGTGGGGCCTGAACTAGGACCAGGGGCATTTCCTGTTTATTTTGACAGCTCGCCATGCGGTGCACTATTGCGCCGGGGAACCCTTGTCGTGCGAGATCGAGTTGGATCTCACTTGGCGAAACACCCGCAGGTATTCCGCGTATCACCACCCTCAGCGTTTTTCTTCGCTGAGGGTGAAGGTGTGGTACTCCTCGCCTTTGTCTGTCAGTGTCTTTGTCAATATTCTGTGGTCTGCCTTATATTCTAACTTTGTCGTGCGAGATCGAGTTGGGCTCTCAGAGTAATAAATAAAGGGGAGGCCGCATTCCCTATTTCAGTACACAGTGTAAACATGTAACCTCAACCTAATGCATGTTGATAAACAAATGATACATAAGTAAACACAATGGTCCCTGGTACAGTGGCGTACCGAGTTTAGGTTTAAAATCTATCATAATATAAGGAAACCATAAAAATTACACTTTTTAATAGAATAAAATCAGAAGTGCTCGATTATTTAAGCTTTCATGTGTAATAAATAGACAATAAATAGGAAAAAGTTAATGGTTTCTTCAAAATCTATAATTAATATTTTAAAAACATTTCCAGAACAAAAGAGTGACTAAAGAAAACTCCTCGATTGAAACTATCATTATACTATAGCTATAGCAATGTCATTGCCTACTATTAATTCTATTATTTCATAGTAGTTCTCGATTACTGGAAGAACATTTATTAAAATAAATAATTTAAATAAAACTACAAGAAAAGGAGCAAAAATATATTTAATTAAAATCTGCTGGAATATAAACAATGCAAAGAAAACAAAACATATTTGTACTAAAAGTAACGGAAAAATGAATTTACATTGAACAACATTTAATCGTATGGGAAAATAAGCATGTTTTAAATGTACGCAACAAAAATAAGCTGAATTTTGAGCTCACAACATTGACAGCTCGTCTCTTATGGAACAGGGACAACATGTGATTGAAGATGTTTTATAGCAACATCTATAAAATTTCCTTCACTGGCAATTTCTCGAAGAGGGAACCTTTGAGACGGCACAACCATTTCATCAACACTGTGCTAAAACGTATTACCTTCCAAATGTTGTATTAATAGGCACAGCTCCATGTGTGAGACATCGTTTTCCAGTTACTGTTACCTTAATATCTGTAGCACGGAAATGCTTCGACAGACATAATTATCCTTTGAAAAATCATATTCAGATATGGCGAAATTTTCTAGCCACACTGCTCGTATCGCAGGATCTTATGGTATTCTACAAATAAACACAGAACTAGTGTTAGTATCAAAATACAAACATAATAAATTAACAAATAAAATACTTAGGACACCTTACACCCTTGTAAGAACTCCCATGGAAACAATGTCAAATTTACTTGTGAAAAGAAGTAGCACATATTTGGCTCTTTTCCTGTAATTGTCGGCATATTATACACCGCATAGGCATTTTTATTGAAATTAAATAAAAAAACAGTTTAAAAAGACACAAAACACTGAACTCGGCTAATATCGATTTCACAATAATAGACTAATAATGGCGTCCCTTATAGTACTGTTTAATACCAGGCAATGATGCCACTTACAGCGTTTGTATTGCTAGGAATTTCAATAATGTATTTTTTTTCGGATATTCAGAATCTATAATTATAAAACAAGTTGCAAGAAAATAGTGCTAGGAATTTCAATAATGTATTTTTTTTCGGATATTCAGAATCTATAATTATAAAACAAGTTGCAAGAAAATAGTGTTAGGAATTTCAATAATGTATTTTTTTTCGGATATTCAGAATCTATAATTATAAAACAAGTTGCAAGAAAATAGTGTCGTAGTCTTATACATATTACAAAGTAACTAATTTGTAAGTCGAGGTCAAGAATGAGGTATATCCTTGTATGTTAATCAATTAAAATGACCGCTGTACCTAGCTATAAAGATAAAAATGTAACATTGGCAGCAAGTTCAAGGACGTCACAAAGTACCAATGTTTGTAAATACACACAGTCAACACAGTCAACACTTCACTATCGAATGTAAATAACGGCGTCCCCTTTATTTATTAGTCTGTCGCCTCACTTGGCGAAACACATGCAGGTATTCCGCGTATCACCACCCTCAGCATTTTTTCTTCGCTGAGGGTGAAGGTGTGGTACTCCTTAGTGATGGGTCGTATTCGTATGAGCCGCATGTCAAGTACAACTCAGTACAGTGTTGATACGAATGGTACGGCTCTCATACGAAATACGAAGTACGGAAGTACGGGCATTTATTAGTGATGAGCTAAGGAAATTCTGGCACTGCTAGTAATGCTAGTATCGCTATCTAACAATACGTTAGACAGAGACGGCAGCGCAGAATCGGCTCGGCATTTTTGTACGGCATTTAAGTGTTTTAATTTGCGATAATTTTATTACAGATTACAAATTTACTTTGGGTTGATAAATAAATATCCAGTTAATAAAAATATTGGATAGTCAGTTTATTTAAAAAAAATGAACATAAAATGCGTGATTTCAAATTCAAATCGGCCGCGGTCGTGTGTTATCGAAACATATGGTTCTTTCGTACCGGTATTTGTTTTTGTTGAATGAAAATTTAATGAATTTGTATTGCATGGAATATGGATGTATAATGCATGCATTTATAAACACTAAAACAGTACACATGACATACATGCATCTAGCCTAGCATAATACGAAATATGGATACATTAGACAGACATTAGTATCTACACTATGCTCGCGCTCGTATTGCGGTACGAAAATAGTTTATCATACGGCGGTACGGCGCATACGGAGTACGAACAGACGGGTCTTTAATCCTAACATTGCTTGCTTTGTCTATGGCTAGCACGTCATAATAGGAGCTGGAGGCTGGAGCTAGCTAGATGTTGGACTGTGCATATGGTATGGTATATGAACTGTGCATGCGCTACTACAGATACGGATGATAGTATTGCGATATGACTCTTTGTGTATAATACGTTTGTACCATATGGCTCTTTAAAAATAGCCGTATTGCCCATCACCAGCCTCGCCTTTGTCTGTCAGTGTCTTTGTCAATAGTCTGTGGTCTGCCTTATATTCTAACCTTATAACCTTTTCAACCGCTAAAACAACAAATACACGAACTCACAGAACAAAACACCCGACAATACCAACAAATACTAACCATGACACAGCAAATCGTCGATTTGCAAAAAACAATTAAACTTTCGGACGAAAACACCACTAAATTACACCAAAAACTTGACAAACTCATTAACAAACAAANAGTTTTTGGTGTAATTTAGTGGTGTTTTCGTCCGAAAGTTTAATTGTTTTTTGCAAATCGACGATTTGCTGTGTCATGGTTAGTATTTGTTGGTATTGTCTGGTGTTTTGTTCTGTGAGTTTAGGATAAAGAGGGATAATCCCCCTCGATCCCAAATCATTGAGGCCAATTTCTAGCCATGGAATAATGGCGCGGCGTGTTCTGTGAGTTAGTGTATTTGTTGTTTTAGCGTCTCATTTTCATGTTTTTGCGATAGTAGCTGTTCGTATAAGTCTGTTTTAGTGGTCATGTTTTTTGGTGAACCGGAGACTCTTGAAGAGGGTCTTTCGCTGTCTGTATCGTCCATGTATATGTATAAGTTTTCCTCGTTTTCTGAGTCCGACATTTTGTGCGTGTGTGTGCGTGTGTGCGTGTGTGTGCGGGTGTGTACGTGTTAGTCGTGTGGGGATGCCCCCTTACGGGGGCGTACGTGTCTTTTGGTGTATTTGTCTGTCTGGTATATTGTTTGTCGGGGGTTGTAATTTTAAAGAAATGTATTCTAAAGTAATGCAAATAACTGATAAATAAGTAAAAACTTACCTGGGCATAACCCCGGGACAGGTGCCTGCAACAAAGATGCCGACGGTCTCTATGCTTAAGCCGGGGATTAGGTCGGTGATTAAAAGGAAAGAAAGGGATTCTTTTCAGGTAGCCTTAATAAAGGCAGGTAGATTTTGCTCGTTGCAATCACTTCACCTCACAAACAAACACGTCTGCTCAGCTCGGCTGTTCGCTCTGAACTCAATCGTACAACACAATCACATAATCAGAACATGTCAGATGATAATTTGGAAAATGCAAATAGAGGGTTATTTATTAATTTTAAATAGGAATTTGCAAAAATAATACTAATAATACTACTGCTTTTTATAATTCAATTTACGTGTTTAATGTCTATAAAATTTAAATAAAATACCAACTAATTTTTGCAAATTTGCTATGCCTGTAAATATAAACGGTAACATAATTATATGTATTTGATTTGTAGATGATTTTGTATGGGAACATCAGAGTATTCTTTTGTTAACTGAGGAATTTAAAAAATGGTATGAAAAATTCCGAAATCCCAAATTAAAAAAAAAAGAATCTTTGGGAAGAAATTGCACAAGTTATGCAGTCTAATGGGTATTTGGTCAATTCATGTGGTGTAGATAGAAAAATTCAAAAAAAAGTACGGGTAGGGGTAAACTGAAGTGGGAATATTTCGATTTATTTCGTGAAATATTTGAAACTGATAAAAGTGTTCATTTAGGAACTGTCATGGCTTCCCTGCCACATGAGAAGACAGAAAATATACAATCATATACCAATTCCATTTCTTCTACATCGCAAGAAAAAGCTTTATTGAAGTCTGATCCATGTACTTCAAATATTACATAAAATCTTGAAAAAAAAAAAAAAACGTAGAGATACATTTATCGCAAAAGGCAGTTGGAAATTGAATATACAAAAACAGGGGAACTAAAAAAAATGCGAATTGCACTCGAAACAAGCAATAATATTGCACAGGAAAAAGTAAATCTTTTGAAACAGTTAATAAGTAAAAAATATTTTTTTTTTTTTTTTTTTTTTTTTTTTTTTTATTTAGGTTTATGATGTAACTATATTGACCCTGTACCCCAAACTCAATGCCCCAATGATATTACAAGGTAACGAAAAGAGTGACTGAAGATTTGAAGTATCGAGTTTAAGCGGCAAACGGGTTCAGTGATTAAAAGTAACTGCAAGTGTATATTTGAAGCAGGGCCTACATTTTTCGGCCCCAGAATCAGATACATATATTTGTACACTGATATAACTCATCACTCAATGATGGCATTTGAACTCCATACTTTAAATTTACAGTAACATTTTTTGTTACTCTGTAATATTAGTGGGGCGTCGAATTTGGGACACCCTGTACATTACTTAAAATTAAAAAATGTAATGGTATGAATGTATTTAAAGAATATTTATTTGTTATTAAAAGCTACTAAAATTAAATAAAAATATGATTTCCTCTGTATCTACATTTATTTATATATAAAATTACAATAAAACAGCATTTCACAACTGGTTAATTCAAAATTGATGCAATATAGTTACGTTTCCTTTCACCTATATTGTGAATTCTCTGTGGCACTTCTACATCATTATTTTCGCCATGGTCCTGTATATTGTCATCCTCATAATCATCAATATTATTTTCATGACCTTCTTTAAATAAAATAAAATTATGCAAAACACATGCTGCTGTAACTACAGTAGGTACCATATCCATTCGTGACATATCTAAATATTTTAAGCGTCTAAATTTGCCTTTCAGTAATGCAAATGATCGTTCAATTGTGGATCTTGATGAACTCATACGAGCATTGAAGCGAATTTGCTCTTCTGTAAGATGGCCATTGTCTCTATAAGGTTTTAAAAGATATGATGCTAACGGATAAGCCGCATCTCCTAATAGGTGCTCATTTTTTGGTATCGGGGGATCGTCTCCAGATAACAATGCAAATAATGGACTCATTCTAAAAACACGAGCGTCATGAAGACGGCCAGGCGCTCCTACATATATATCTATGAATTCTTTTTTATCATTGCAAGTGGCTTGTAGAATTATAGAGTTATAATTATTCCTATTATAATAATCTATTGCATTTCCTGGAGGACCCTTTATAGAAATGTGACATCCATCAATAGCACCAACTATACCAGGGATACCTACAAAATATTTTTAATAAAATTTTGAATAGACTAACCAATTACTACATTCTACCTGATTTTTCTTGAAACCTTCTACAAATCTCTAATCTTTGCTGACGGTTTGGCCATTTTATTATTTCTTCTCGTAAATCAGCTATATGTTGAACTACTTTGAAAAAAATTTGATGACCTGTGCTTTTCGCTAAATTAAATCTGTCACCAGCCGACAAAAAACTTTCTTGTTTAGCTAGTATCCAAATAGTAAAGAGAAGCTTCTTTTCATATTCAACCACTCCATAATTTTCATTTGGTAAAGCCTCCTTTAGCTTATTTAATAGTAACTGAAAACAAAATATATTTATTACATGCCTATATTACTGTAGTAATATTACTATTTATTGCTTACCTCAAAAATACCTCTAGTCATGCGAAAATGGTCATGAAAATAGTCTACATTATATGTCGGTATAATAAATTCATAGTATCCCGGATTCCTATGAGTTTCATTCATAGGAGGTATAATTACTAAAGGTGGCATAACAGCCTCCACCGCATTGTCTATAGCATTCAAATTAATCTCATCTTCTAATAAAGCTACCAAAACTGCATCCAATTCCGTTGCGATTCTGTTGATGTTACACATTTCAAATTTTTTTAGGTTAGGCTGGCTGACATTTAACAGCAAGCTGAAAATGACGTTCAGTAACTTCTCTGTGTGCTAAATATAAGCAAAGTCAATACGCTTTTATTTAGCGCTCATCAACAATGCCCGGCTGAACGCACCCATTAATGTTGGTGATGCTAAGATTTAGGGATTTTTCATTACCAGTACCAGTCAGTGTGGGGTTGCCTAAGCTGGGCGGTCACGTGGCTTACAATCATTTACGGAGATTCTGTATATCTCCTCTGTTGGAGTTAACAAAGGTAATGCCATACATAATTTTAATTTTGCACGTTTTCTTATGGTCTTATTTATTTGTAGCGCCTGACCGTAATAATAAACCATGTTATTGCACATTGCACATTCCCGTAATACAAAATGTGTACTTTCGTTTCATATCACACATATCTTTCATGTTTGCAAAATATATCTTTTTCGTGACATGATCAGTATGAAACCTTCATCTTAGATGACAGTCCATATAAACATCCAAATATTTAACTTGGTCTACAGACTATTTCAAAAGTATCATAAAAATTTATTGAAAGTACAATTATATTTAAGTATATTTTGTTTATAGCTTGTATATGGCATAAAATGTGCTTTTGAAATATTAATGGAAAGTAATTTAGTTTAGTCAAAATTCATTAAAAATTTTCAACTTTTTGTTTTAGGAAATACCAAGAGTCCTTATAAAAAATAACTGTGTTATTCACAGTGCTAATAATATCTCCCGATTGGTTGGAGTTGGTTAGTGGAAAAGGTCATTCACATATATTCTAATAGCATGCGTCCGAGAATTGTACCCTGTGGGACACCAAACACTACTATTCTTTGTTCCCTAATTATATTATCTATTCTAATAAACTATACGATCTGAATAAAACGATCAATAAATTGTGTAGAAAAAATATTCGTTTTTAAAAATCATAATTATTAATAGCATTTAAAAAATTTATATTTTTAATACATTTTATAAAAAATAAGAACAGTAGACATATAGAAAAATTAGTTCTTTGCTTCTTGATCTGCTTTCGTTAGAGATCTGAAAAATCCCAATCTCCTGACCCTCAGCTTGCTCCAAACAATGTAATTCGTTAACGCAATAGACTGTGCGGCGGCCAAAGCTGCCGTTTCCGGGTAAATCACAGTGGTACAGCCCAATCCAGAGGGCACATTTAAACTGGACCAAACGTCTCGACTAAGATCGTCCTTAGGTCCGGGTGGGCAATTAATCACTGGAAAATCAGTGTTACCTGAAATAACAGGTCCTAACCCGTTCGACCTGCCCGCGACGGCTATGAAAACAATTGGTAAATTCAACCCTTCGTAATAACTGACAATTTCTAAAGTGTACTGCGTGGTTTTGTGTGCCGACGTAACTCTAATCTCCGCATTCAATCCCAATCCCTCGCAGTATTTCTTAATTTTATGGCAGTGTTCTTTATCTGAAGGGCTTCCCATTACGATCACTACGAGATGGTCATTTGGGGGTATCAGATGGTCCAGTTGGTCGGCCACCCATTCGAAGTTACGTTTTACCGTATCCAAGTCTTTTTCGGTGACTGTGGAGAGATTTCTGTAGACCTGTTTGTCTACCATCAGTCTTTTGTCGCCCGAGGGCCACAGTCGCCAACTGTCCGAATCAATAACATCGGCAACAAGGATTTCGCCTATAAAAATATACATATTATAGTAATGATGATAAAATGACTAATTTTTTTCTATGGGCGATGGACTATCATCTTTTGTTTTTAAGAAACGGGGCGTAAAAAATGATTTGTTAAACCCAAATTTTAGTCACATCTTTCACAAATATACAATGTCTTGCATTAAAATTTGCCATACATCAGTTTGGCAAGTTTTTGAGTTGCGATTGTTTCAGTGACGTTTAGAACCATTTTTGGATCAGGTTTAGAATTATAAAAAAATAAAAACCTTGTAAAAATTACTGAAAATGCACTTATTGAGTTTCGTTTACTAGTATAATCTATAAATACTAGTGGCGGCTCGTCAGGTGACGCAAGTGATGCACCGCTTCACCTAAATTTTCCATTTCGTTTTGCAATTTAAAATTATTTTTAATTTTATATAAATTTTAAATTTAGGTATAATTCTATATTGAAAATGTATTGTGTTTGTTTGTTTAATACGCAGAAATAAACAGAATCATTGCGCGGGGAACGCCTTCTAAAAAAACATTGCCTTCGTTGAGCGCAAACATTAACCTCGTACCGTATGTTTAGTATACGCAAGTGACGCAGATTGAAACAGTCTGAATTCCGCTTCTCTTCGAAGCGTTGTTTACGGTGGTTGTCACGGCAACGAGGTGGCCAACATGGGAGAAAATTACGGCATGCGGTAACGAGTGACGCGGATATTGAAGCAGCATTGTCATCGCCCATCGCCTGCCTTTAAACAGTTTATACAATACGCGTCGCCCAGTGCACGATAACTGTTCTTCTGTTAGTTAATATTTGTTTTGTATAATAATTGTAGAAATGTTTCCTATGTATGATCCAGTATATATTTTATTGGAACACCATTTTCCAGATGGAAAATTGAGGACAAAAAGGATTTTTTAAAAAAGGGCAAGTCGAAAGACAATGTGTACGTTCAAAAGTTTCTGAATGAATGGTATTCGGAGTATAAGTGGTTGTGTGGAAGTGTTTATTTAAAAAAACCTTTCCGTATGCCGCCTTTAATTGTGGGTGTAAAGTCGGGGGTGTGGAATAAGGGGGGATTTAACAATTTTGGGAGTCACGCGAGGCAGTCGTAACCACAAAGCTTTTTTGGAACATGTACGGTGTGCGTTAATATTCGCAGAAGTTCACAAGCCGAACTAATATTTCTATTTTTTATAAAATCTAAATGAAAATCCTTCTCACGAACATCAGGTTTTCGGTAATATTACAAATGCAACTAAAAATTTTCAGATTCATTTAAAGCCGTTTCACATTGAGAATTTGAAAATTTTTGCCAGCGGCGCTTTTTTTTTTTCTTTTTAGTCAGTCAATGCTTCACCTATTCTCAATGTCACAAGCCGCCATTGATAAATACTACACTTTTATCAAATGTATATCTATGTAGTGTAGACATAAACCTTATTTTCAAAGCTTTTATTCCTTTTTCATTCATTAAATGTAAAAAATACTACTAACAACATGACTTGTAAGATATTCACAATTTGATGCCTGACATGAAAGAATTTACTTTTGTACACAAAAAATATGCTTTACTTAAAAGTCAGTCAGCTTTTATCTCCAAATACTGCACTTTCACCAAGAACATTCCATCAAAGTAGAAATAAACCTTATTTTCAGAACTTTTATTCCTTTTTCATTCATTAAATGTAAAATTATTGAGTCTATTTTCAAGAAATTTGCAAATTGGCTTTTTATAGAATGTATTTATTAAAAGCTGTTTTACATTGACAATTTATTGATGAATTAATTCATGAAGTCGCTTCATCAAGAAATTGGACAAGTGTAATGCACAAAATCTGCTGTCAAATAACCTCATGAATTTATTCAAGTTCTTGACATTAAGTTATTGCAATATGTAAATAATTGTGTGGTGTCGTACTAGTTTTGTATTGTTTTTATTGATTTGTTACTTACAAAAACTAATATTTATAAAATATGTGTCAAAATGGTACCACTGTTGTGTCGCTACAATTATGAGTGGAAAGGTGACATTTTTGAAATTTGCTTCTTTGATTGTTGGTAGAGCTGATTCATGTGTCAAAGAAATTCACAAAGTCTGTAGCAGTGTAAAATCAAACCGTTTACAAACAAATTCGTGAATTAATTCATTAGGAACTTGGTGCATTTATTCATGAATAAATGTTCCATGTAAAACAGCTATAAGAAAGCAACATTTAGGAATAGAAATTGGTTAACTAAAAGTTTTATTAAGAGAATTTTTTTTGCTAATATGATGCAGACAATTTGATGTCAAAAAAGTTGTCTTAAAATATCACTGAGGAAAATAGCAGCTAGCAACATCTACTAGACTACCTGTAACTCACAAGATTTTCAGTATCCTCGAAAATTGTATCATCGAATTTTATAAAGATATAACCACCTTCTCTGATTCATAGGAAAAAATGTCTTACTTAAAGTTCTATCAGCCTCTGTATGCACCTTTTTAAAACACCCTATACAGCTTTATAAAAAAATCAGTTGTCCTTGTTATCATAAGATTTTTATTTAAGTTAATTTAATGTAGAAACTTTTTATAAATTTCTTCCATAATTAATCTTTATTAATGTGATTGGGTACATCATCACAGGGGGCAACTTTTTGCTCATATTCCAAATGGACTATAAAGTTGATAAGAAGTTTTTAATGAAAACATTCCACGATAACAAATCGCCTGGAAGTTGACCTCTTTCGATGTCATAGGATATGTGAACAAATATTTATGTTAATCGGCAAAAGAAAATGCATATTTTTGTTATAGAAAGAAATAGTATTGCAACACCTATGGATAAACTGTGACCTCTTGCAAGATCCTATCCACTATTTATATTATGAGGAACGGTTTTTGTAAATAAGTAGGATAATATGTTGCAATAATTTCTAGAGTTTCTGAATATGTTTCGGTGTTATAAATTATGACCTAAATGTATGATTAATTTTAACTTACCAGAGGAATCGACGCCAAATTCTATTTTCATGTCTATGAGGGCACAATCCCTCGTTTGCCAAACCTTTTCTAAAACTTCGAATACGAGGATTGAAGTCTTGGTCATAAAGTCGACTTCTATCTTGCCTAAAAATATCACAAATAAAAATATGTACGGAAGCAAAATTTAGTTTTTTTATCTTTTTAGTAGTAAGTATTTTGCTACTGACGTATATTCGTTTCAATAATTGCTTTATTTTGTGGCCAGATAGTTTCAGTAAATTTTTTTTCGCTTAATACAGGGTGTACGTTTAAGGGAGTCAGATCACTTAAACTCTTGTCTATGCCACCGCACTGGGCAGCTTCTGATCTCAGTTGTATGAGTACACTTATCAATATCACCTGTTGTTACCTTTTTAAGCCAAGTAAATATATGAAACTAATGGAAAGGCAAAGAGCAAAACTACAATGGAAAATAATAAAAAAAAAAAAACAGATTGTTTTTACATGACCATGCAACATGTTGTTCTAAGATCAACATCCTTTTATTTGTCAATGGAGATGAAGCGCCACACAAAAACATTTCCAAGGGTTTTTAAAAAATTAATATTTTAAGTATATATTATTAACTGTAAGTAAAGCTAATTTATTTTAAAATAATTATTTTTGTTGATTTATAAAAATACATTGTTGCAAGAAATTAACACACCACTTCTGGAAGGAGGAAGTTGGGATTGGTGCTATGGCCTCGCCAGCATGAGTCCAGACTTCAACCCCATTGAAATTTGTTATGTATAATATAGTAAACTAACTAAAATTATTGTAGAGGAGTCTTCATTTCTTGGAGCAGTGTATTTACCGACACATTTGATACATTTCTTAAAATGAATTTCAAGATTTTAATAAAAACTAATTTGTTGTTTTTAAAGCACTCTGTTTAGCTTGTGAATCCTAGTATCAATGACCTCTAACACTGAACTAGTTTATAATATCAATCCACCTGATATGTGATATGATTAGGGGGCAAGAAACAAATGGTCAACATTAATTTGGTAAACCAATATGGTAGATAATTTCACGATTTTCTACATGAAGTACCTACATATTAGTTTTACTGAAATAAAAATATAATTTGTATAGAGCAGTGTTGTGTTTCATTAAGTTTAATTTTATAGTAAAATTTTAAGTGATATTTAGTCTGGTGTATAAAGTTCCATGTTTAGTGATGGCACAGTGTTTATTTGTCTTCACCATTAAATACTTGTGTGATACGAATCGAGAAACATGGATAAAATTTGGAGTGAAAATTACAAATAAATGGGTAAAAAAAAAATCGATTTTCCCCACAGAATTATGATGTGTGTAAGGATTACAAATTATGATGTTCTTTCTGAAATGTTTTTTATCGAAAATGGGCTTCGTTAACGCTGTCATTTTTAAGGAATTTAAAAAATGTAATATACTTATTAGATTTATTAAAAATAGGTCATATCAAAGAATAGGATATACAGGTTGTCCCGTTCATGTTTAAAAAAAACTTGTGTACAAGTTCCTCATGGAAAAATAATAGAGGTAGTTCATGTAAAGTTTATTTCTTAGACACCCTGTTTTCGAGATACAGTGTGTTGAATTTGTTACCTTCCAAATGGTTTTCCTTAATTATCTTCAAATCGGCTGAAGATAAAAATGTCAAAATTTGTACATGAGTAAACGTCAACTGTGCATTAAGAATAATGTGGAAACGGTTTCGTTCTGAAAAGCAGTATCGTAATTTTTGCGGGCGGAGCTTATAGCGATTGTGGCAATTATTTTTATGGAAGGAGGTACTGGTAATAATGCCAAGATTGTTCATCTCTTTTTCAGTTTCTATTTAGTACGGCTGTCGATATATTGTATTTTATTTCAAATAAAATCGTAAAAATATCTATAAAATTGACAGACTGGAAGAAATTTTAGCGAGCGATAGCAGCGACGAGTTTGAGATTGAGGAGCGTAGTGTGATGGATGCTTTATAATAAAATATTAATAACTAAACTATTACAATTATTTTGAAACCTTTGAACATGTTTTAATTTAATATAACACAACATAATGTAAAAATAAGTAGTCTATCTAGTCCAAACGAATATACTCGCACACAGTAAACTTTCGCGCACGACGCAGTAGCTACGTTCAGACGTACTGCGCAGCGAAAGGGTTAAGAACTTTTATTACATTTACTTTGACAATTCTGTCATGTCTTATTCTGGTTATGCTTATGCCATCAGCAGTCGATAGAAAAGACTAGTCATCAATCAGTTGGGTATTTGTCTCTACATTTTCTAAAATATTCGTTTCAATGTACAAACTTTCACAAACTGTTATTATATGCTTTGACCATTTTTTGCAAAAAAATAAAATACAAAATATTTTATGCAAATATAAAAATATACGTATACGTATATAAAAAAAAAAATGTGTAAAGACCCCCCTCTTTACAAGATAAAGTAATATACTTCTAAGTATCAAACTGCGATATGAAATTTCTTAATTTAATTGGCCAGAAAAAATGGACATCTTATTTCAATTGCTTTCATTATGAAACAGTATAGATAAGTTTTATTGGCAATTTATTATATCTGTGACAAATTAAATTTCTACATACCAATCAGCAAGCCGTTAACCTTGAACCCTGCGGAGATAATCTGTTCTTGTGACCATTGGGGGTCGTGATTGGCATCATCTTTAAAGAAAGTCTCATGCTTCGGTGGGTTAAAACGATAACCTTCCTTAACCCCAGGGTGTCGTTTTAAGAAAGATCCCGTTGCAAGGCGGCGGGTGACCCACTCGATAGGGATCATGTCACATTTTTTCGACAGGAACGCATTGCCGGCCACTTCTTTGAGGAAAGACGTCTTAATTCCTTAAAAAATATATATATGTAATACTATATAAATATAGTTTATAACTTTATAAACCTGAATATTACTCTAGGTATTCTACATATGTGAAAATAAAAAAAAATATGCAATATGAAATCAAGTAGAAAAAAATGATTAATAGCTTTCAAGTTACTTAAGTTAGATCTTCCGATGTAATACTAACCGACTTTATTCAATATTTCGAAGACTTTGCAGGTCGTTTGGTTTGAGATTACAGATTTTCCCACTAAGTCATGAGCCTTTACTCCATCGCCTGCTGTTATCCTATCTTTGCTCAGCAAAATGCACTGTCCGGGAAGTGAAGGAACATCATAAACTTGCTTGGTTTTACCTTCGATTATTAATTTTCCCAATTTAAATTCACCAACTGAAAAAATTATGTATTATTTAAGTGATAAATCAGTATCAATGGCAATAAATTACAAAAACTTTACTTTTTTAATACTAACCTCAATATCGCACTATAGTGGTGCTTCGTAATTTTTTATTTTTAAAAGCCCAATTGCAAATCACCTTCAATTATACCTATTTTTTTTATAATTATGTGCGAATTTTAAGTGAGAATTTATAATTTGTGAAAAGTGGGAGCACATTTAATAAATACTTTGGACACCCCTAGCGTTTTCAACCTGTTGGATATTAAATAAAAAAAACTTACCTTCTTTCACTGCAGTAGTGGACATCGTAATTAATAAATGCACAAGCCACAAACTACAAGTATTCTTTGCAGATTTGTATTTTAAAACAAACACTAATACCCTAATTTAAAACGTTTGCACATGAGAACTTTACACAACAAATATCGTTTTTATGAAGTTCCCAGAATGGCGGGCGCATGCGTGAATATTATTTGTAACAGTTTTCACAATATTTAATTGAAAAAAAAAACAGACGTAATTGTTGTTTACAACTCATTATCTTCGTGGAAAATATTTCCAAAGTAGATATTTATACAATTTATTCTGATTAATTTAATTTACATGATAGATGGACAATCATGTTTGACAAAGTGGTGGGGAGATAAAATGAAACACGTGGTCCTAAATATAAGTTGAAGATGAAGACTGAATTTTGAAATAAAATTAATTTATAAACCACATATCAACCTAAAAGTTACACACTGAAGTAAATTGGGTAAGTTAATAATTAATTAATAATCCTATATCCGTATTTTAGAAAGTATATACCACTACGATTTTTTGCAGACTTAGTAGGGGTGTACAAAAGAAGAACAAAATACAAAAATTTATTTTTCTTTCTGTGGGTACTTTCTTAGAAAAGATCTTTATATAGGTGACTGTACCTACAAATATAATCATTTTAAAATTTATTAGACAACTGTTTTTACATACATTTGAGCACCTATAGATATTTCTCTTCTATATGTGGGAAATTATTTTAAATTTTTAAATACTATTTATACCGTTTCGTTTAATAAATATCATTATATAATTTTCTATATTACGCATTTTTTAATATTAGCTCTTCTACTTTTGTTTTATTTTAAAAATGTTAATCAAATTCAAATTAATTTTAAAAATTGATCTAAAGAAAATACAGATAAATAGCAGTGCAGCTATTCTATCGTGGCTAATTGGTTGGTCTTTTCAATATTACAGCTATTCCAAACAAAAATAGGAGACATTTTTGAAAGTTTACAACATTGATCAATGATTTCAATGTGTCAGGATGTTTTTTATTAATTTTGGTACTTTTTGGATAGATTATTTTTTATTCTTAAACAGGTATTTTATATTTAATAACATATAGTTTATATATAGGATAGTTTAAGATTTATTAAGATAAATATAATTTTTGAAAGAATTAGAGTGTAAAATGTATCTAGAAGCTAATGAGTTCCAGATTTAATTTATTTGAATCTGGAATCTTGCTGATCCCGTTTATTTTTGGAATTTTTAATTGGCGCAAATAAAAATGTTGTTAACATTTGCAAACCTGACGAAACAATAATTTCTCAATATTTCAATAGTTGATCGAGGTTATCACATTTAGTGATAAATAAATATTCTAAATTCTTTTTCATAACACTATCGCTTATCAGAAGAGTATAAGAAAGCTTTTGTTCAAAAGCCCTTCTTAATTTTGCAGAAACCTAATAGGAAGTACCGCATATCATGTCAGGCGACAAGATTTGCAATTACGACCACAAAAATGAAGAGGAGGATTTGGCTTGTGCGATGGAATCAGTTGGTATCAGTAAAAGAAAGGGTAGAGGACAAGTAACTTCGGGATTGACACACGAATGTGGGGTTTTTGGAGCGATAGGATGCGGCGAATGGCCTACCACTTTGGAAATCTCTCAGATTATTTGCTGGGGTCTAGTTGCTCTGCAACACAGGTAAAAATTAAACAATTTTTTTCTTAATGACTATTAACTTTATTGTATCAAAATTGGTATTAACAAAATATGTGTAAGAATTTTCAAGTCAAGTCCATTGATAAATTAAAATGTTATTTTTTTTAAATAAATGTTTAGAGAATCTGTTAGGGAACACTCCCAGCATCATTAGTTCTTAGAAATTAAGTAAATACACAGCAACACATGCACATCATAAATATTGAAAACTGTATTGAATTTGTCACAAAATATCTGTTATTATAGTTTTATCTTTCTAGTTTTAATATTGGTGTTATATAAAATACCTATTTAAATTTTAATTTTTTACAAACATTTTATTTCTGAAACTTCATCTATCAGTAGATTACAAAAAAATATATTTTGTAACATATTTCAATTTTTTATTTCACAAATTTTGTTTTGAAATTTATTCATCAAGAAATAAGTGAGCATTGAAATCATCCCCTAATAAACAGTATGGCTTCTTTGGTTCTTCATTATAAAATTACTACTTTTATTTTGAAACCACCACTGTTGGAACATTTTACAAAATTAACCAATCATATTTCACCGCTTGTTCCAATTTATTAACCCAATTTTACCTTCTACATTATCAGAAACATCCCTACTGTTATCACTTGCTAAATCACTAAATTGTTTCAGAATTCTGTTTGACATGAGTTTGAAATTTGATTTTTACTTCAAAGTTTAAAACATCACGGTTGGGCAAAGAAAATTTAACTAACAATTAAATGCGTTCGATTATTTTTGTTTTCCAAAGAATTTTTCATAATTTGACTTAGCTGAGAGTGTAGCATATAAAATCAATGTTCCTCCTACACAATTAATATTTCATATGTATAATATTTATTGCTTCAACACAGCAGGTACTGTGGATACTTTGTTATCATTGCTTAAAATAATTATTGTGAAATCTTAGTGCTCAATTAAGATAAATCTCGTTTATGGTATTTCGACACCAGCATGATGGAAAATTTAGCTCTAATCTGATAAAGGATGGTTCTTGACCACATGAAGATTAAATATAAAAAAAATGTTGCTGAAATTATTGTAAACCATAATAACTATATTTTATAACTTGTTCATTTACGCGAAGTATTTCATCAAGGTCCATAGTTAAAAAGTAATATAGAATCTGTAGTTCATTTTTACATACTAATTGGTGTTATGCATTAAACTTTTTCTAGACTGGACTCAATAATCTTTTTTTTAAACCCAAAGAACCTCTTATAAAGGTTTCAAAAACACAAATAGTTTTCTCTTTCAAGAACCCAGGGCCGGCTTTCAGAAAATTTCCAGTTGCAAACATCAAATTCCCTGACTCATGACTACTTTTAAAATTCCCTGACTATTCCCTATTTTTTTATGAAGAATAATGAATTAATTCCCTGACTTTTCCCGGTATTCCCGGTTTTCCAGGCCTCTACGAACCCTGTTCATGTTCAAGACATAAATCTCTTGTATATTTTAGAGGTCAGGAATCTGCCGGTATTGTAACAAGCGAAGGAAAATGCTCCAAATCTTTCAATGTCGTAAAGGGCATGGGAATGATTAGCAATATATTTAACGATGAAGCTATTCGAAAATTAAAAGGCAGCATAGGCATCGGACACACTAGATACTCCACTAGCGCTGCCTCTGAGGAAGTCAACTGTCAACCTTTTGTTGTACACACCGCTCATGGGGCGTTGGCCGTGGCACACAATGGGGAATTGGTGAATTGTGACAGTTTAAGGCGACAGGTATAATTGTTTTTTAAATTTTATTTTAACATCTAATTTAAATGTGGTTTAATAGGTGTTACAACATGGAGTGGGGCTTTCTACGCATTCAGATAGTGAACTTATTACACAAGCTTTATGTTTAAATCCGCCAGATGGTGAAATCAATGGTGAACCAGATTGGCCCGCAAGAATTAAGCATTTCATGCAGCTAGCACCATTGAGCTACTCGTTAGTGATTATGTTAAAAAATAAAATATATGCCATTAGGGATCCGTATGGAAACAGACCTCTGTGTTTAGGAAAAATCCTGCCGTTTAATGAACGTAAGACAATTTTTATATCCTTACAGAAGCCTTTAAACAAATAAAACCTTGTCTTTAACTCATTATTACTTCTCATTGATTAATTATATTAAAAAAGTCTTCTCGCTTGTAAATAAATAAATAAATAAATAAATAAATAAATGCCTATTTGCAGCTCTGTCTGGCGACTGCGACGAAAGTAGGGAGGCTGAGGGCTGGGTAGTATCGTCTGAATCGTGCGGTTTTCTATCTATCGGCGCCCAATATGTCCGAGAAGTATTCCCTGGAGAAATTATAGAGATGACACGTCACGGTATCCGCACAATTGATATTGTTTTGAGGCCTGACCATAAGTTACAAGCTTTCTGTATATTTGAGTATGTTTATTTCGCTAGAACCGACAGTATTTTCGAGGGACAGATGGTGTATGCTGTAAGAATGCAGTGTGGAAGGCAGTTGGCTATAGAACACCCCGTCGAAGCTGATATAGTCAGTTCCGTGCCGGAGTCTGGAAATGCTGCAGCACATGGTTTCTCTAGACAGGTAATTAGTATTTTTTTTATAAATCCTAATGTACAAGACAGTCAATTTTGAAGGGTTTTTCGTATTTTCTAAAGAGGTAAACAAAAAGTAGTTAAAATGTCTCGATCTCGATTTTGGGGAAAGTTTAATATCTCAATTTATTTAAATGATACAAAGCATTTTTTTGTCAGTTCTTTGTCATGTCGAATAACTTTTTATTTGAGATATTTTATTATTTTTGTCATTTTTAAATTCTGAATCCAGCAATATATCTTGACTTACCATTGCATTGGAAATAAGAATCTTTTAGTCGATCTCATATTACGAATAAATTGAATGAGGAAGTTTAGAAGCAGACATACACATTTATTTATTTATTTTGTGTGTAAAACAATACATTATTTGACATAAAATTTTCATTTCCAAAAGTTAAAAAATATACCCCATATTTTATTAAGGGGGGCGTTTTTATGCGCAATTTTCAATGAATTTTTTGTCCAATTGTTTAAAAAATCTAAGCCAGTTAGAAACGATATCTCTTCATTGTATTACTCATACAAGTGTTCTTCAGGGTGTGAGATAACTGACAACACATTTTAAGTAAGAAAAAAAAAACATATTTTTTTATCTTACGTTTCCTGAACTTTACACGACTGTTGAACATACAGATAAAAGCGTACGGTATTATAAACATACCCACACCCAGCAGAATGCTTTTAGGATACTATTTATACATGAATTAATAAGAATTATTGAGTAGTTTTATAAATCAATTGGACAAAACAGGAAAGGTACGTGTTCTGATATTTTATATTATCCGTCATCTTTTCATGCCGAGCAATTGAAGAAATCCTTCGTATTTCAACTTTTCTATAGTTTAGACACTATCGAAAAGAGGGCGATAGTCACAGTTGTCGTTCTAAGGTATTTTTTGCTGAACCAGAGCCGGACTAACTTCAATATGTTTGAGTTGTATTTGCGCTGATTTTAGATAATATAAAAGAATGTGATGGCAGTGCTTGTTTGAATGGGAATATTAAGCTTTGCATGTAAAATAATCATAATAATAAAACTGTTATTCCGAGTTCTTACAAATACTGTTAAATACTAGTAAGTTAAAAAATTTTAATTCTGACAATTAATAATTAGTCTAATAGTAAAAGAGCTATAAACACAAATAAATTATAGTACTTAATACACATATTTTGATAATAGTCCAGATAATATAATCGATAATATAATTACTAGAGAAGAAAGAATTAGGCAAATGCCATTCGGTATCAGTCAGACTGTCTAAACTAAAATGGAGCGTGATAAGATAATTAAAATTTACTACACAGTGGCAGTTTTTTTTAGAAGCGGGGGAGTCAGTGTCTCCCTAAGATTTCTTTAAGATATTTTTCACAAATTGATTATTGTATGTTTTACTAGTTATTAGATCCAGTATAATTTTAGAAACCATAATTCTGAATACAGAATTTTGTATGTAATAATTACTGTTGTTTGTTGAAGAGTGACTTCAAGTTATTATTACATTTTTCTTGAGAAGCAAGCCAAATGAGTTCCCCTAAAAATATTTTTTACAATTTAATTTTTCTGTTCGTGTTTTATTAGTTTTTAAACGAATTGTTTATAATTAGCCTCTGTTTAAAAAGTGATTGATTTATGTAGATACTTTACAATTTACAACACATTTTAAAGCAAATGATTCGTTCTCGCATCGTCACGATGAAATAGGTACGGTCACATATTACTAACAATATGTGGTACGGTGGAATACGGAAAGTGCAGGTGTATAGTACAATTCGCCGGCATGCCTCTGATAAAGTGTTTTTAGATGTGTTTAAATAAAGGGCATGTTTTTATGACAGAATAGGTACCTACTTATTATTAATGTAGGTCAAGGAGGAACTGGAGGCAAATACGCTGTGAACAAATGAAATGATGACTTACTAATTAACAATATTTTGTAAATTTGATTATACCAGTTAGATTTTTTTTACAGTTATTTTTGGTTTTACTATAACTGCTTAATTATATGCCTAATTAATAACGATTGTATAGCATCAGTATTTCGTACTTTTTTGGCGGCAGATTAACAAGCGTGCGTTGTATACTAATTTGCTTAACATTATATTTAACATTTTTGATAAAATATTAAATCAAATGTAGTTTTCTTATATACAGGGTGTCTCAAAATTAGTGTCCAATAATTTACCACTTGATTATATTGCGAAAAATAAGAATATTTTTTCAAATAAACATGTGTAGAGAGATGTTTCCTAAGGGAGCTACACCCCCTAAATAGGGCCTCAAAAAAAAATTTTTTTTTAATATTTTCGAAATGGGTTGAAGGAAAGTTATGAATGTTGATACCATGAATGCTCTTAAAAGTCGAAATAGATTATCATAAAATTTTTCAAAAATTTTAATCATCTCAATTGGGGGGGGGTCGTCGGCTAAAATTTGCCACTATTCTTTTGTTTGCCCAAATTTTCAAATTCAGATCAAAACAACATCACCATTTTTTCATAGAAAACTCAGATCAATCAAATTTTATAGCAACAAATGCATGCAAAAATTTGAACCGATTCTCCCCCTCCTCTTGCTCGGGACGGCCCATAACAAAGTTTTCAAAGCACTTTTCACGTTGTTTATTACAATGTATATTGATATGATGACATATGAAAATTCATAATGGTACATGTGCCCATTTTAGCCACTCAAAACAAATTTTTTGAATTTTATTAAGGTAACGTAATAAATTGCTTAAATTCGTTTTTCTTGGAAATGGAGCATTTTATCCAAAGAACTAAAGAGTACCTCTTTTATAAAGGATATGAATATCTATCATATGTTGGCATGAAAACTTGAACTTGAAAATTTCGACAAGTAAAAAAATAGAGGCAAATTTTAGCCGACGATTAAAATTTTATGATGATCTTTTAATGAGCGTCAATTATGTCAAAATTTATAATTTTCCTTGAACCCGTTTCGAAAATATTTAAAAAAATTAATTTTTTGAGGCCCCCATTTAGGGAGCGTAGATCCCTTAGGAAGCATCTCTCGACCCATGTTTATTTGAAAACATACTCTTATTTTTGGCTATATAGGTAATCAAGTGATAAATTATTGGACACTAATTATGAGATACTCTGTATATAAGGAAGCTCTACATTTGATTTAATATTTTATCAAAAATGTAAATTAAAATGTTAAGCAATACAACGCATGCTCGTTAATCTTCCGCCACGTTTTTTTTGAATACCACGAAAATAAAAAACTTTATTAGGCCGACATGCAGGTTTGCTAAAATAAACAATGTTTAGAAAAAAATACACATGCTTACGCTGGAAGTATGGCTCTCGTAATAGTATAAGTAAAATTTTCATATTTTTTATTTCAAAGTGTATAATGGTTAGTTTTCTTATTACTGAATGTTAAGTTTCAATAAAATATATGTTTGCTTATATTTATTTTCTTACAAATCTATGTACAGAGCCACTAAACATGCGTGCAATGTAGGAATAATATATCATTCTCCGTCCCTTGTGCGTTTGCTAGCCTGAACCCATCTCGCTTGCTCTCACAGACCGCTACGATGTTCACGACGGAGACGGAGCCCTTTTATTGGCTGTAATTAAGAAACGCTCCGACTTTTTTGTCTGTAATTTCACTTTTGTGGTCAAATTGTATTCCTAAAGCCAAATTTCATAGTCTGCAGGTGGTACAAATCAAGGAGTTTTTGAAAAAAAAAACAAGTTTGAGTAGCCGCCTCCGGCCAAACGTAGCGATATTTGTTCACTTTAAACCTATTTCAACATTAATGTGCTTATCTTTTGGTACAAATGATGGGAAAAAATCACGCCAGCTCTTAGGCTACAAGTATTTAGTCCAAGCATTATAGAGAAATGCTTACAGAAATTATTACCTGGACAAAAAAAAATGACCGTATAGAAAATTAAATTTTAAATCGAGTTTCTTGTTCTTTAAACTCGATCCAAAATGGCGAACATGGTTAAAAAAATCGCAAAGTTGCAAAAATGGTTTTTCTAAAATAACTAAAAAAATATAGCACCGATCGAAAAATTTTAAAAGAGAAAGTTGTAGGTTTTAAAAAGACCTATCGACTGATTTTTTGTAAGTACCGATTGCTTTGTTACTTTTCGAGATATATCGAAAAAACCGTTAAAAATCTTCTCTTTTCTCTTCTTCTATAACTCGTTTACATTTAGGTTCCCTTACTTGCTATTTACTGCAAGCATAGCCCGCGGCAAGCCAAAAAATACATTTTTGAAAAATTTTAAAATAATAATAAGAGTAAAGAAGAATAATAAAAGTAAAAAAAAATGTAAGTAAAATAAAAAGTAAACATTTACGGGACTAGTTTGCTTCTAATGCGAAAATGACTGTAATATTCGTGTTTAGCTACCCCAGATTAAGTACAAAAGAATTTTTGTACGTGATCCAGAAGCCGAGATATCAAAAATTTTGAAAGCGCGAGACTTTAGACTGCACGTCATCAGTTTTCAGAGCGAGCGCGCGCCGCTTCCCCCTACTTCTCCGGCCGGTCCAGCTGACGCACTCAGCGCTTGCACGCTTCACTTTATTACTCAATTCTTAATTACTAATAGGTACTAAAAATCAAGTAAACATATCCTATTTTTTTTATTTTGAAAATATAAATATTGAATATTAACCTCCATCAAGCGCATCGCTGTAAAAAATGTTAATTGCGTCTTCAAATTTTTTTTTAAATAAAAAAATTATCTCGGCTCCAGAAGGTCGTAGAAAAACATTTTTTTTTTAAATTCGTGAAAAAATGTCAGCAGTTTCCTCCTTTAAAAATAATTTTCATAAAATAAAAATTGAAATAGTTATTTGAAAAAAACACCCAAAAAAGTGAAAATTTTTCATATTTTGATCCTTAAAATTAATAAAATCGTCAACATTCGTCAAAATCAGTCGATAGATCTGTTTAAAACCTACAACTTTCTCATTTAAAATTTTTCGATCGGTGCTATATTTTTTTACTTATTTTAGAAAAACCGTTTTTTGCAACTTTGCGATTTTTTTAACCATGTTCGCCATTTTGGATCGAGTTTAAAGAACAAGAAACTCGATTTAAAATTTAATTTTCTATACGGTCATATTTTTTTTGTCCAGTTAATAATTTCTGCAAATTTAACATTAATCCGTGACAGAATGCTTGGACTAATTTGCAACAAAAAAACTGGTCTGCCAGCCGGTAAACACGAACACGTGCTCTTTGTATTGGTACAATTGTGAAATAAATATGAAATGAGTAATGAACTACAATTAATAAATTATGAAAATATTTACCAGAGGATCTGATAACTATTTTGTTTTTTTATTTCTATTTTTCTCCTATTTTATGTTTCTCAATAGGTTCAGGGTGTTTAATACTACATTAATTATCATAACATAACATATCATATTCATAACATATTTTATCTATATATTTTTAAGAAAAATAATGAAATTTTTCTGTACATTTTAATTGTCTGGAATACAGTTGCATTGTTATTTAAAATCATTAAAATTGTCTTTACCACAATGTTTCCATACTTCCAACATAATGATAATAATCACAAATATTTCACAAATATGTCTGTTAAATGAAATTAAAATATATAGAACATTAAGGATATAAAATGAGCATCATTTTGCATTCGACATACCCAGTAATAAAGAATCTGGGGAATTTGAAGTTTTTGTCAAAAAAAGTTGTTTGGTATATCTAGTGTTTACGAAGTTAGTTGAAACCGTATAAAAACTAAAAGTCGGCATCTCTTTCCGGGCACAATAAAGAGATGCCGACTTTTAGTTTTTATACGGTTTCAACTATCTTCGTAAACACTATAATAAATGTTTAAATTTTTGATAGTATCAAGTATAGTATTCCTCTGTTTCCACATCCAATATTTTATTAAAACACTGTAGGTCATTATATTATTTTTCTGTGCAAATATTAAAATTATCTGACAATTCTTGTTCATTGCACATATTTTCCCTAATGCGGCTCTGGACGATAATAGGCTTACCAATGTCCTGAGAATATATAGTTACCGATTAAAGAAATCTTTACGTCGATTGCTATGTGGTATTATGAAGTTGTTCTAGTTTGGCATTAAGCTAGTAGAGACCGCCACTTCCTGGATGGATTTTCTACTATCTATCAGGTGCTATCGCTGTCTTACCAAAAGTGCGATTTCTTGTCTATAAAACGGCGCCCTTAATAAAAATATGGTTGGATTATAACTGAAAAATCAAAAGCTATAGACAATTGAACAAAAACTCTACAAAATAATTTGTATACGAAAAGAAAAGTTATTGACCATCACAAAAAAATAAATCAAGGTATAATAAAAAATTAAAACTTAAGACATTTGAACTACTTTTTGACTATATCTTCAGGAAACAGATAAATGTGTCAGAATTGGTCCACTCTGTACTACATTATTTATTATATACAAATTAAATTAAAACTTAAATGTGGCGAAATTAAAACTATCCTGAATTGATTTTTTTATTTTTAGAGCGGAATATCTTTTGCAGAAGTGTTATGCAAAAATCGATATGTTGGCAGATCTTTTATTCAACCAAGCAATCGTCTAAGACAACTTAGTGTGGCGAAAAAATTTGGTAAGATTAACCAGGTTTTATCGATGAGTTTAAAATTTACAATCAGTTTTTTATTAGGTGCTTTGGCAGGCAACGTTAAAGGCAAAAGGGTAATACTAATAGATGATTCCATAGTGAGAGGTAATACCATCGGTCCAATCATAAAACTGTTGCGAAATGCTGGCGCTACGGAGGTTCATATAAGGGTGGCCAGCCCTCCGCTGCTTTATCCTTGTTATATGGGGATCAATATCCCTACGAGGGAGGAACTTATTGCAAATAAGTTGAATGCGAAGGAGCTGGCAAAACACGTTGGTAAGTGTTTTTTTTTATAGTGTGATTTTTAATATTTTTGAAGTGCATACATCTGGGGCATTCCACGCCAAATCGATCACTTTTAACCATGACCCCTTTCGATTTGGCTGAAACTTTTTTTATTGCTTTGTACCCCATTGAAAACCACTAAAAATTTTTTCACCCAACTCAAAAAAAGTTATGAAGTTTTGAAAAAAATAGTTTTTTTTTTAAATAACCAAAACTTTTTCAAAAATTGAGTTATTGGGATTTTTTTTTCAAAATTTTTGTTTTTAGATGTACTTTTTGGAAAAAATAGATCAAAATTATCTGGACCTATCTTCACAGTTTTTTTTTCAATTTTTGAAAAAAACGAAAATTTCGATAATTACCATTTTTGAAAATATTGATTGAAAAAAAATTTTTGAAAATGTATATAGGATCCCAAAATTGAAAAAATATACAGGCTGTCTACTATAAGAGGGCCCCTTCTATGTATCTCGCTTAATATACGACGCACGTCAAAAATCTTATTATCTTATTATCTTATATATTTTTTGTTGCATTTTTTGAGGCCTTTATGCTCGTAAAAACAAATTTGAGATCCATGGCCAACTTTGTCAGTAATTATAAAAAAAGTAAAAGTGCCAAAAGTTTAGGGTCGCCTAACTTTTTTATTTTAAGAAATAGAGAAAACTTACTTTAATAAAATTTCATGGCAAAATTGATATCTTTCACCTGGTATAAAGAGATTTTGGAACTATCGTCTGTAAATTGCAGCGCCCTCTACGCGGGCAAAAAAAAGATGTCATCGAAGTAGGCTGTTTCCACAAAATAATTGCTTGTTCTTTCCTCTTTCATGCTATATATTACATGTCGCCTTTATCTTTTATATTTATTAAATTTTTTATACTTTTGATAGATTTGATATAAAAAAAAGAATAAAAATTTTTGTGTTGCTTATATTAATGTAAACATTAATTTTATACATAATAACTACAAAAGAATTAATAAATATAATGCAATTCTTTTAAGCAAAATAGTACAGATTTTCTAATTACTTTATTATAGTATTGGTTTTTGCATTAGAGAGAATTAAGAAGCCTTCAACATTGTTCTTTCACAGATAAAGTAGCTTATGCTAAATTTCGCAAGCTGTAAAAACAAATGTGTTACCCCTTTGACCCCAGTAATGTCATCATTTGGCAAACTGTTTATTATTATAGATTATAGGTAACTGTTGGCTTGAAAACTGTTACAGTTCAATGTTATTTGAAAAATCATTTTGAAGGTGTTATAAAATAAAAAAGTGTCATTTGAGAAAGAGGAAAGTTCTAATTTTGTAAGTAGATATATTTTTATTATTTTATATTTGGCGCGTTTAAAACAATTTCTACATTAACATAAGCAACACGAAAATTTTTATATTTTTTTATATCAAAATTATAAAAAATATAATATAAAAGATAAAGGCGACATGTAGTATATCACATGAAAGAGGAAAAAACAAGCAATTATTTTGTGGTCGTAGTCTACTTCGATGACAATTTTCTTTTTGCCCCTGTAGGGGGCGCAGCAATTTACATACGATAGTTCCAAAATCTGCTTATACCAGGTGAAAAATATCAATTTTGCCATGAAATTTTATTAAAATAAATTTTCTCTATCTCTTAAAATAAAAAAGTTAGACGACCCTAAATTTTCGGCACTTTTCTGGTTTTTTAATAAATTCTCACAAAGTTGGCCATGTATCTCAAATTTGTTTTTATGAGCATAAAGGCCTCAAAAAATGCAACAAAAAACATAAAGATTTTTGACGTGTTTCGTATATTAAACGAGATACATAGAAGGGGCCCTCCTACAGTAGACAGCCTGTATATGAAAGAAATAATTGAAAGTGGTAAACATGAAAAATATTTTGATATGCAACGCATTTGAACTCGAATAAACCATCCTCTTTTGAATTTTTGAAATTGTTATCAATCGCTGCATAGAATAAATTTTTGCAATTTTAGGATTCTATATACATTTTTAAAAATTTTCAAAAAGGTATGTGAAATAAGCTAAATTTGAAATTTTTTTTTCAATCAATAAAAAAAAAATTGAAAACTAAAGAACACCACTGAAAAAATTTGAGGATTTATAAAAAATAAGAAAAAAAAAATTTTCAAAAATGGTTTTTTTTCGAAAATGGAAAAAAAAAACAGTGAAGATAGGTCCATATAATTTTGATCTATTTTTTTTCAAAAAGTAGATTTAAAAACAAAAATTTTGAAAAAAAATCCCGATAACTCAATTTTTGAAAAAGTAATGTTTATTTAAAAAAAGCAATTTTTTTTCAAAAATTCATCTTTTGTTGAGTTGGGTGAAAAAATTCTCAGGTTTTCAATGGGGTACAAAACAATAAAAAAGTTTCAGCCAAATCGAAAGGGGTCAGGGTTAAAAGTGGTTGATTTGGCGTGGAATGCCCCATCTATAAAATCGTTTGGGTTTTTTTTTAATAACATTCGAATGGATGAATTGATTTCTACGAACCAAGTATAGTTGGAAACTAAAAATAAGCTACATCTAATGAGATTAAATGAAATTTGTAACTTTAAAACTGTAAGCGCTGTGAAAATGACAGTCAAAATTAGTTTGCCTCGCAACCTTGCTAGCTATTATTTTGGAGTTGATCAAAGTCGTGATTAAAACTAAAACGATTAATTTTTTTGAAAAAATCTACATGAAATGTAATTTGCTCTTACTTTATATATGTTTTATTGATTTCCTGAAGGTAATTGTAAATATTGGGTGTTTAAATTCTTCAGAAACATCACATATATCTCAAAAGATTACATGTCAAAGCATCTCTTCCATTTTATTCATAAAGCAAATATTTTCAAGTTATTATTTTTTTCAGCCTAAAATAAGTATGTACTACATTGTTGAAGAAATAAAAAATAACATTAAAACTGCTCCATGTAAAACTTTTTTAGATTTTTTTTTTGCTTAGTAGTAGAAAACTTCTACACAAGTGTCAGTCAGGGATTTGTTCACAATTTTTTTAAGTTTACACTGGTGAAATACCCTAAAAAAATTAAACTGTAAAAATCCTGACCATTAAATACAGAATTTACTTCTAAAATTTTCTGTAAAAGTTATGTGGTTATACGGTAAATACCAATTTCAAAAACAAAAATGATCTTTCAACATTTAACGAGATCTCAGGCGCATATCTAAAATAGTCGAAGTTTTTAATAGATGCAATTTTTAGTAATGGGGGCGCAGCATCAACCATTCACATTTTAGAAAGCTGCCTCATTATACAATAACATGCACATGTCTGTCCCTGATCTGAAGCTTCACATCGATCAATTTATTCAATATGCTGTAGCGGCATCTAATGCCTGCCCTGTCAGCCTAGCGTACGTAAGTTTTTTGCTGAGGGACGTTGACCTTGCATCTCATTGTAGTTTGTGTGTGTGAGCGAGTTTGACACTTTGCTTGGTTGAGTGTATGGCACATGTTTTTGTGGCCACAAAGTTTCCAACGGCTAGTTATGATTTTTTTAAATTAAAAATAGGTTGATTAAAATTTTAATCAAATCATTTAAATCATGTTAACTCTGCTTATTGCGATAACCGGGAACCTTAAAGAAGCGATTGAGGTTTTCTTAGATTCGTCTTCAGTAAACAAATCGGACAATGCAAGTCCCAATTTATAGGCTTTTAAAATAACTAGATATATGTAGTTAAAATTTGTGAAATATTTCAAACTCGATTTCAGATGAAAGATTCTAATTGCAATTAATTTGTGAAGACCGCCTAAATCTACACGAACAGTTTTACGAACAATTTGAGGCATCGTTCATCAAAAATCGATCGCTCTGTTTAAAAATGATTTTAATAATATAAAAAACTTGGTTTCTGAGACCCAATTATTGGAGACAAATGAAGTGTTTGCAACCAACCCTTTGCTTTCGTGTTTTTTTATAGACATACTTCAATTCTTTTAGGAGCAAACAGTTTGGAGTATCTCAGCCTTGAAGGCCTAATAAAAGCTGTAAGGTCGGACTTGAAATCGAAGAGCTCACACAAAATTGGCCACTGCACTGCCTGTCTTTCGGGTATTTACCCGGGAGGCATACCGAATAAGGATACGGATTTAGATTGGTAGGTTCCTTTAAGTTATGTAAAGTTAAGGCTACAAAAATATATTTATTGATAAAATGTGATAGAAACATATATTGTACAAAGCAGATATTATGTTTAAGGATCTATTTTTTTTATACACGAATAAAAAAAAAACACTTTTTAATACTCGTTAATAAGAGGTTTATATTTGTCCAATGTAAAATTTATTTTGTTAAGGTTGTATTTTTTAAATAAACTGAAAAACCATAAAACTTGTTACTTATCCTAGAAAATAATTCATTAAAATGTAAAAACATTTATTAACAACACACAAAACATAACACTTACTTGAAATTAAATTTGTACATTATTTATTCCATTGCGAGGTCTTTTCTTTACAACACATTATGTCGTCACTGATTTTGACACACTATTTTCTCTATTTCGTCTATGTGCTTCGGACATTTCCTACTAAGCACCACGGGTCCGTTGACGGTGATCAGAATGTCGTCCTCGATTCTTATTCCAATGCCTTGGTACTCTTTGGGTAGTGATTTATTCTTTTCACATACATAAATACCTGAAAAAAAAAATCATAAAATAAATTTTTGGTCACCTACAGGCTGTCCTGATATTCTGTGTACATCGAACTACCATAGATTAGTTTTTTTCATCGAATAAATCAAATTTTTGATGACAATTAAAGCCTGTCACAGACTTGGAGATTTGTATCAAGAGACGGTATTGTGACACTTATCTCACTGTCTGAAGGACTGCATCATATAGTTTCATGCTGTCTCGATGCAGGTCTCAGTATCCCGTCGACGCGGGAGAGATTTCCTTTTCCATTAAACAGTTTTGGCAACAAATTTTTCTCCTTTTCTTTTTAATTAAACAAACACCAATAATAACAATCATGGTAAATATCTCTTTTCGCGATCGAAGGATCTTGACGCAGTAACATTGTACTTATTCATGATATATATTGCAGTGTCTGCATCGACCTGAGACCAGCCTCACGATACAGTATCACGATACCGTCTCAATACAAATTTCCAGGTATGTAGCAGGTTTAAATCACATTCGTTTTGAAAATGTGTTGATGACATTAAAAATAAGAAAAAGAGTTACTCCAAAAACAGCCCGAAAATCGCCCATTTTGGCAAACTCGTAATTCTTTCAAAATTTTGTGCTAAGTTATTGTATATGATTAGAACGTGTTACTGAGAAAGTTCTAAAATGAGTTCAGCCTATATGGCAGACAAAACTTTTGAAATTGAACCAAATTCGACCAAATTGGGTATACAGGGGTTTTCGGGGTCGCTAATTACGAATCCGAGATCAGATTTGCAATATTCAAAATGGTGGATCCAAGCTAACGGTCAAAATTTAAAAAATCAATGCAATTCGTCTTTTTAGGTTATACTTCGTTCATAAATTATTAATAGTCGATAAAGTCAGAATGTTAGCACTAAAACACTTTTAATTTTTTGATCTTTTTTGAATTTTACAAGCGAAATAAGTTATATAAGAAGGCATTTTTCTGAAATAATTGTAGAGTGGAAATAATCTAAAAAGATTGACCAAATAGGTTGAATAGAAGAAAAACACAGTTTAATTAAATCAAAGCCTGTAAGCAAAAATACCTATATCTAATTATACTATTAGAGGAGAAAGAGTAATCAGAGTATAAAGTGCTCGTGCAGTCAGTTGCGCAAACCTTTATATTTTTTCAAGCACACTTTCTTGCACGCCAATGCGCCACCTATCATCCTCCCGTGGTACTAGATTGTTAGATTCGTAATCGGCAACCCCAAAAACCTAAGTAACCACATTGATCTTGATGATCTAAAAGGTTTAAAGATATGCTCGATACATGAGATCACGAGTATTATGACATGTATCACTCGTATCTCCAAAACCAAAGCAGAACTCATCTTGGAACTTTCTCAGTAACACGTTCTAATGATATACAATAATTTAACACAAAACTTTTAACGGACATTTGCACGGATTGAAAGGAGTTTGCGGAAGAATGGACAATTTGGCGTTCGAAATGCAGCCGTTGAAGAAGACGTTTTAAACAAGGTCGCTGAAGATCCAAATATTCAGTACTCGCCATCTGGCAGTGGAATTTGGCATACCAAAAAGTATAATTAATCGAATCATAAGACAGCAGCTCCTCGATCCTTATCATGCGACGTCTATTCAGGAGCTTTTACCACACGATTCTGAGAGAAGACTTCAATTTTGCCGCTTTATTGAAGGAGCGCGGGCACGTGACCCAAATTTCACCAGCAGAATTTTATTCACTGATGAAGTTGATTTTACCAGAAGTGGTGTCTTTAATTCACGTAATTTCCACCATTACGCAAAAGAAAACCCTCATGCGAGGCGTATTAACCACTTTCAGGTGGTGGAATTTCAAATAAATGTTTGGGCCGGGATCATCGGTGACATCCTTCTGGGTCCTTATGTCATGCCGCCCCGCTTGAATGGCGAAAATTATCTCAATTTTTTAACGAATACTTTTTCGGTTCTAATGGAAGATGTCCCTTTCGATCTTCGTGATGTGGTTCATGCACGATGGTGCTCCACCGCACTTTATTGCAGATGTAACTGCATATTTAAATAATATTTTTCCACACAAGTGGATCGGAAGAAGAGGGAGAGATGTTCCTGTCAAATGGCCCCCCCAAAGCCCCGGCGTAAGGCCATTAGATTTTTTTCTATGGGGATCCTCAAAGAATAAAGTTTACGCCACTCCTGTGGAATCCCAGGAAGAATTATTATGGAGGATTCAAAACGAGGCAGACGTAATAGGGAATGATCCAGAAATGTTGATACGTCTAAAATTGTTGTCACAATGAAACAGAAAATATTTTTTTGCGTAAAAACTATGAATGCCTATGAATAAAGAGCACGGAAATCTCGAAAAAGGACTGATGCATCAATAAAAAAAAATGAAATGATTCCAGCGACTAATAAAAATATTCTGGTATTCTTGTACCAAAACACTCAAAAATTTACCACTCGCCCAAAGTGTGAGGTAGCCCAAAGTGTGAACCAGCAACAAATCGGGATGGGTAGTGAGTTCTTTATTCGAAGAACGAATAGAGTAAACGCCAATGGTCTTTTTCTTATTCACTTTAATGGTACCTCACACATTACAACAAAATAAAGGGACCAATATTTCCTTGTACATACACAACAATCTCTGTTTTCTACTATTTCTATACAACTTAAAAAGAAAATACATTTAACTTTCCAACAGTGGAAGTTCAACGACACACTATTTAATACAAGGTAGGCGTTCTACAAGTGGATGGACGTGGTTGCTTCATCAAAACATGAGTCTTACTTAGGAATAAGTCCACAGCAAGTTTCATTAAAATCCATAGTAACATTCTCCAGATATTACAAAAAACATATTTTTTTTTTTAGGAACTTTGACAGTCAATAGCAGAGCTAGACATTTTTTCTTAATGGAAGTTAAGTCAGATTGTCTTCTTTTGAGCCAAAGAATGTCGCAGTACTTTTTTTATCATGTGCTTATGGGACACCCTGTATATTATTGGACCACAAGCGATATTTTGAATAGAGATAAGTTTAGTTAAATTGTCTTATTTCGGCCTCAAGAATCTGTGGTAGTTTCTGTTGTCGGAATTTAACGTCGTCGAATTTTTCTCACAAGGCTACGCAAATAGAGCGTGTGCGCAAGATTTAGTATAAAAGTCGTTCGCTTCAGTATTCAGAAAAGTTGGTGTCTGACTTTGCAAGAAGACACATCACGCATTTTCGCGCATTTTATTCCAAATTAGCTCCGGCACTTCAACAGTGAAACATCGCGAAGAGTTTTGCTTTTATTTTATTTCGAAATTCTCAATGTGGGAATTACAACAGAAATAAGAATTAAGTTCATGTAAATTAGTAAACCGACTGGAAGCAGTTAGGGCAGAGGTTGACATTGTTCGTCCGAGACTGCGGGCTTAGGCGCGTTGTTGCGGCTGCTGTAACACTTGAACTTTGACGGGTCATGCGTTCGGGCCCAGAATTGAAACATAAGTTCGATTTTGGGGTTATCAACAAAATTATTAGACGCATATTTGGATTAAAAATAAAAAAATGTTATATTCAGATATGCAACAACAATTTGACAATACAAATAGACGTCATGACGTTCAACCTGAGACAAACATACAATTAAATGATAATAACGATCGAGTCGACGTAATCCCACGTACACAATACATTGGGATACTCTGTATATACGAATTTTTTTATTACAAGAAAATAATTAACTGAAGAAGTGTGGTCGATGGTGGTTTATCCAATAAAGTTTACTATTATCATTAAAAAAGTCATTTTAATTTTACTAAATACCTGGTTCGATTGTAATTATCATTCCCGGCGCAATATTTATGTTCCTATTAATCATCGGAGTATCATGAATATCCATTCCTAAGTAATGCGACACATGATGAGGGCACAGCTGATAGGCAGTCTAAAATAAACGAACATACAGAACAAACTAGAGGAATAGAAAAAAAAAATAGTTCCCATATAATCTTCTGTTTCATACCTTCATTAAATATTCACTAGATGGCTGTATTCCTATCAACCCGATCTCCTGCAACCTTTTACCCAGTAGATAACACATCGATTCGAATAGAGCGTCTAACGTGGGCAACGAAGAGCACATTTGGATCAGTTCTTCTTGAACGGAATACACCACTTCGTATATTTCTCTTTGTTGGGGTGTAAATTTACCGTTCACCGGCCACGTTCTTGTTACATCGCTCGAATAACCATGATATTCACAACCTAAAATTGCACATAATGAACACCAAACTATAAAATTTTAACAACTAATTTTACCTGCGTCTACCAGTACCATTTCCCCATCATTAATGAGCTGGTTGTTGTTGATGTAATGGATAATGGTGGCCCGACTTCCCCCTGCTACGACAGGGGGATATGCCAGGTATTCTGCTCCTTGCATTCTACATCTATAGTCAATTTCGGCAAAGATTTGGTTTTCGCCTAGACCTAACATAGTATAAAGAAAAGAAAGATCATTTTAGTCTATTAAACAAACAAAAAACACAGCACCTGGCCTCAACAATGTACCATGGAGTGTAATTAAAAGGTTTGATTATAAAATAACCTTCACATAGTTAAAATTTTCAATTTTGTCTACAAAATTTACAAAGGGTGTAACTTTTGGTCTTTAGAAATAGATGTCATAAGTTTGTCAATCAAATGTCATATGTCAGTTGTTGTCAGTTTGTCATCAAATCCCGTCGTGAAAATTACTGAAACTTTTTTAATATTCTTTATATAAATTCCATATCCTGCCACTGAACAAGCTAGTATAACATCAAACAAACATACTAGCCGCAAGTGTATCTGCTTCTTCCTTTCCTAGTGGTTGGTCCTGATAAGTCCCATGACAACGCGGCCTAATTAGGCCTATTGTGCGTCCCACTAGTTAGACCTATTCAGCAAGTAGTTTCGTCCTTTTAACAAAGTCCAAAAGCTTCTTTGCTGACACTCCTCTTAGCTCCTTGGATTCCAAATAGGGTCTTCCCAGGAGCATCATTCTACTATGTGCAAATCCTGGGCACTCGCCTAGGACAGGGGTCGGCAAACCGCGGCTTTTTCAAGAGTCAATTGCGGCTCTTCAAGTTTCTCTAAAAATTAAAAGTTAAAGCGGACAGACAAGCAGCACACAAGTACACATAAAGACGCGTATAAACTTCCGTATCCGATTTAAATTTGAAATAAAATGTAAAAGCGGAAATAAAAATTCGTGGCTCTTTGAAATTCATGAAATTGATATTTTTATTGCAGATGGCTCTTCCGGCTTAAAAGTTTGCCGACCCCTGGCCTAGGATATGCAGAGAAGTTTCATCTGCCGAGTCACATCCTTGGCAGACCGGACTGTCTACAAGCTTTAGCTTATGTAGATGTTTCCGAAAGTGACAGTGTCTCGTTATGAATCCCGTCACTCTCCTGAGCCGGATTTTATTCAAGCTCATTTGCTCTTTCCTTCGAAGGATACTCCATGAGCTCCTTAGAATGATTATGTCCTGGCCTTGAAGTCCAGTACTTCCTATGTTCTGGCTTGGTTTATTTGCTCAAAGCTTGCCTGACCACACTGGGAGATGTACCGCAGAAGGGCTCCGGACCAATGAACTCTGTCTCGGATCCCTTCCTAGCAAGTTCATCCGCTTTCTCGTTCCCACAGATGCCTGTGTGTCCTGGCATCCAACACAGTCTAACTGTATTATTGGTGGCCAGTTCAGTCAGCATTTGTAAACAATCCCACACAAGTTTTGAACTAATTGCAGCTTGACTATCAGAGAATATATACAGGATGTCGCGCTTAAATATGATACAAGCCTGTAACTTCTTTAATTTTTTGGCCAATTTCAAAAATTTTTATTTGGGAATGTAGTGTAAAAAAACCTGTATCTAACTGTGATTATCGCGAAAATTTCTGCTTGGAATACGGTAGGGAACCTCCCCAGACTGTAGGTTGTACTCCATCTGGGTCTGAGTCCATATATTCCTGCACACGTCCCTCTGGTCATTTTGGAGCCATCCGTAAACCATACTAGGCTCCATCTTTCCAGGGTATCAATCTTTTCCTCCCATTTGGTTTGATCCTCTATTCGAGTCTCAAAGGGGTTGTGGAAGCGAAACCTTGGAACCATCTTGTCACATAGTCGACATAGATGTGTCCATAATCCTGGGACTACCCCTCCAGTCGTTGTTGTTCCAGAGTCAATATGCTGCCAGCCGCGCATCTCTTTCCACCACTATATGCAGCGGTGGTAGATTTAGGACTTCTAGCGCAGCTGTCGGGGTCAATGCCTTTGCCCCCGATATTCCCAATCAGGCCAGTCTCTGGCTGCAAGTGTATATCTAATAGGGAGCTACGGCATGTGATATTTTCAAATATCATCTTTATTAATCAGGATTCCGACTCATTCATTTAAATCCCTAACTTTTCCAAGTTTTCTACAACCAGTAACAAATTTTTTTCCTTGACTATTTTAGTTCAGTAACTGGACAATTGCCTCAAAGTAATATGTCGCAGTCATTCAAAAGCAATCAGTTTACGTTTAAAAATGTGACTGTCAGTTAAAGTTGCACTATGTATATTTTTCAGCAAATTTCTCAAAAGATCGTTAAAGAAAAAATATTTATTGGTTGGGGAGTTGGATATTAAAACTACAACTTTTCTATACGACTCTATTGAAACTTACTGTGTTCGAAACAGATTTTATAACATCGTACAGCATTAAATCATGCAAAAAAATAAATTCTCTGTACTTACAAGGCTTGGAACTAGACATCGCTTCCTTGAAAGCTTTAGCCGTAATGTCACAAGATTTTTGCATTAATGCAATTTCTGCAGGGCTCTTGTACAGCCTCAATCTATGGATAAACGACTTAGGATTGTCACATTTCTGATTCCTACTATCACTAATATAATCGCTTATAACCTTATGTACGCTGTTTTGGACAGGTGTCAGGAAATCGTACCTAAAATAGAAGTTATCAAATTATGCTATAAAAATAATTAAAAAATTACCATAGCATTAAGTTTTTATTTGATTTTCTGTACGATTTCAAAAAATTGTCCAATTCACTGATTGGCAAACTCTGTTCGACACCAAAGAAATCAGTAGCCTGTTCTGGATGAGTTCTTGGGCCATCCCATAATTCGGCATGTTCATCTTTATCTCTGGTGAAAAAAGTTGTGCATAATTGGCCAGACGATTCAGCTGTTATTACTACACAACAATCCGGTTCCTGGCAGCCAGTTAAATATAGGAATTCTGTATTTTGACGGAAGACGTAAGGGATTTTGTCTGACATATACTGTTTAGATGCAGCTGGAATCACTATCTAGAAGTTAAGTAATATAGTCTTGAAATAATTTTTATGCTTATTAACACACCACATGACTTTTTTCCTTGTTATTAGTAGCGGCATGCTTGAGTATGCATTCAACAAGGTTACATCTACGATCTTGATATTCCGACTTTGTTATAAAAGGAGTTACTTCTCCTTCTTTAATGAGATGAGGATGAGTATTAAATGAAGGTTGACCAAAATTTCTTTTGAAATTTGAATCACATCGTTTCGACTTTGGTGCATTCATAGTATTCATACATAATTTTCTTAATGTCAAATCTATAAAAAAAATACATTTATCAACTAGGATAATTTTTAAGTGGTTAAACTTACCGGCTTTAAAAGATGTTAATGATTTAACAGATTTAATAAACATAATAAAATTTTCTATAGTAATATCACAGAAGAATTTTGAATTTAAAACAAAAATAACTCTAATAAAATTTAGGTTAAATTATGACACTATTGACATTTTCAAGAAGAGTGTATAGTCCACAGATCCACAGATTACTGAATTACTAGTATAGTCATAGTATGAGTAACTAATTAAGACGCCATTATTCTATGGCTAGAAATTGGCCTCAATGATTTGGGATCGAGGGGGATTATCCCTCTTTATCCTGCCTCATCTCGTGTAGGCCTGGACAGCCTTCGTAGGTGGGCCCCATCCGTCGTCTACCCCGACCGCAAATGCGGCCGGTGTAGGCGCTTTGTGGGACCTCCTTTTGTCCTGGCTGGGCCCCGCCGGCTAGGGCCCTTTCTTCTGGCGCTCTTCTTGCTTCGCCGGCTCGTCTGTGTAAACCCCGGGGGTAGTGTCATGTTTATGTGTGGTATGGTTGGGTAGGGTAGTGCGGCTATGCAGCCTGGGATGCGCTTTGCTAAGG